CTGGCGCTTGTTTCTTCAAATGGGATGAACAGCGGGTCGAATGGGTTCGATATGGAGCCATTCTAGATCGAAGAAGAAGGCCGTTTCCACGTTAAGGCCACAAGAAACATGTTAGTCAGCGGACAAGCGGAGCATGTAGCTCGACCTGGAAGCTCGGTGTCCCTGTTCAGATCAGGAACAAGCAATGACATGCGGCAAGGGTTACACTGGGTGAAAATCCCGCGATGGGGTCTTCATAAGGGGGCAACGGCTCGGACACCGAGCGAGGATCTTCATGCCCGGCCGTAACGTTGGTTCGTCTGCTCTCATGCTGCTATAAGTTCCCAATGTTTCCCCTGAGATGATTGTGTTTCTTCCTCGCTCGTCCATCCTGTCTGTGTGCCATCTTGGAACTCGCCGTCAAGTAAAATTGTAAACAAAAGTTCCAGTTCAACAACTCGCCAATATGAGATTCTCAACGCTCGCAGCAGGCCTCCCCCTCGTGGCGGCGGCTCCTCAGGGTCACTCCTTCAAGCAGCAGGCCAACAGCACCGGCAAGAGCCTCATCCTCGACCAGGCTCCTAAGACCTCGCAGCCCTATGCCCTTCGCAAGGGCTCCGGCCGGGCCGTCGCCGTCGGCGAGCAGGTCTACCGCTTCTCCGTCACGGGTAACTCCTCCGCCGGCGCCTTCACCCTGATGCAGACCAACGCCCCGGACTCGTCCGATCTGGGCGTCCTCCCCCACATCCACAAGGCCCACTACGAGAACTTCTACTGCACAAAGGGCCAGATCCAGCTCTGGGCCAAGACCAACAGCTCCGGCGAGCAGGCCCGCGTCCTCACCCCCGGCGATTACGGCGCCGTGCCCCACAACACAGTTCACACCTTCCAGATCACCGACCCGGACACCCAGCTCACCGGCGTCATCCAGCCCGGCGGCTTCGAGGAGCTCTTCGTCGCCATCGCCAACTCGGAGTTCGTCTCCCCCACGGGCTCCGAGTTCGTCCCCGCCGCCTCCAACGGCTCCTCCGGTTCCGACCCGACCCTCATCTCCGCCCTTGAGGCCTTTGACGTCTACGCCCAGCTCGACTTCAACCCCCGCCGCGATCTCGTCAACGGCAGCGCCGGCGGCGCAAACACCTGGCACACGGCCGCCAACACCCTCGCGCCCGACGCAGTAACCCCCAACTTTGTCGCAAAGAACCGTGGGCCCAAGTATCTCAACGCCGACGGCGGCGTCTACCACCTCGTCGCCCCCTTCGCGACGGCCAACCAGACGGCCAGCAACTTCACCATGGGCACCGTCACCCTGAGCCCCTTGCTCTCCAACCAGACCGCCACCAAAGCGAACCTCGGCCAGCCCCTGGCCTTCCAGCTCGAGGAGGGCAGCCTCGAGGTCGCCGTCGAGGGGTACGACGCCGTCACGCTGATCCAGGGCGACGTCGTCTTCGTCCCTGCCAACGTTGCCTTCACCTACGCCGCCTCGGCCGCCTTCACAAAGTTCCTGTACGTCAGCGGCGGCGGCGACGGCTTCGACTACCAGCTCCTCCAGCGCGCTGTCCCTTGGTCGTATGCCACGTACCCCATCGACGCTGGGTTCACTGTGCAGTAAAGAGAGTGATGTTTCTTTTGGACAGGGGCAGTGACAGTGGCAGAGGGGGGCAGAGGCTTAGTCTCTGCTTCAGGGAACTTTCACAGTACTTTCAAAAGTTGTACATTTTTTCCAAAGATGTTGTACATGAACCCCCTCGCAAACAGTTTTTCTACTTCTGTAGTGTAAATTTGTTCTCCTGCTCGTTATACCCCCGGGATGAGCAGCCCACAAGCCGCATGAGGCCGACGGTGTCGAAACTCCCGAGGTACCATATGCATTTCTTTCTAGATCGTAACAACATTACATCCTTTTGACAATCTAGACCAGGCCACTTTGGTGGCAGTGTTCCCCTCCTATGGTGATGATGAGTTGGTTCATGGAGGTTTGCTAGTCATGAAGCTAGTTACACCGCACTCTGGGCTCGAGAAATAACACACAGTACGGTGTTTTGAAATGCCGAGAAGTCTGTGAGATGGATCCAGCGTAAAGCTTGAGACGCTGCTCGCATTCAAAGGCACCCTCAGATACCCTCGCCAGACAAGCTCAGCGAGGCGGTGATTTCTCCTGGGCGTAACTTTGCCCTCGTGTTCGAAATTCAGGGGTGATATCATGCCCGTGAGGCTTTCCACTGGAGCGAACTCCATCGCACCGGAAAAAATGCCAAAAACTTCAAAAAAAGATATTCTACTCGGACCGATCTCGTATCCAAAAATCACCGGGCTCTGCGATAGTAGCAGAACCCTGCAATATGAGTTTGTCTAGGGCATCGGGCAAGGCAGACAGACTGTGTGGTCTAACACCTCTCCGCAAAGAAACATGGATTTTCCCCCATCTCGAACAAGGACATACCATCCTCGGAGGAAAACCCAAAAAGTTCCATAGTCTTCAAAGATTAGTTCCAACGCTTACACGATGTATTTTTGACAATGGTGGTCTTTTCTTTGCCTGAGAAAGGGGGGCGGGCGAACTTTTGGGAAAAGGGGCTTGGGTGGTGCACAGCCACTGCCCCGTGGAGTTGTCGACTTGACTAAACTCAGTTCCACTTCCAGTCTAGGCAGAAATTAGATCTAGCGATATTGTCGAACCGTATGTCAGTGCTTTAGATTTGTTGTCGAGGCAATTTGCTAACTCGATAGTGGTGTGGTCAATATCGCCATCGGGGGGGGGGGGGGGTTCGAATCTGGAAATGTTCTATGATATCATATTAGGTTGGAGAGAGCCCATGGTTAGCTTCACTCTTTTTCTTGAATATATCCTCTTCATATTGAATTTGACTTGAAACATGATTTTCAGGTCGGGTCACCCTGAGAATCGAGAATGAATTGCATTTTCAGCCGTCAGATGGCGTCTCAATCGAGTCTACGGATGACCAACCAACTTGGGACTTTTGTTGACTTTTTGTTTTTCCAGTTCGGCTCACCCAGCGTATTAGCTGTGTAGATTCGCAGGAAATTCTCATGGTTCCTCATTGCCAAGTTCTTCACTTATGATAAAGTCAAAAAGGAAAGGAAGGAAAGGGCTGGTGATTACTTACGCTAGGATTCACGCCCCTGTCTGGACTCGAACAGCGCGCTCCTCGGACCAGCACGACTTCATTGGAGTATTTTTTTTTTTTTTAGATTCTCTGAGTCAAAGTGTAAACCACCCGGCCGATTGGCCGGATGGGTGCTGGGGACAGAAACAGGTGATAAGACTCTTTATGTACCAAAGGCAGGTCAAGGAAGGAGGGGACGTAGAGGTTGAGATGGAGCGAGGTGGGAATTACGAACTGTAGTATTCACACCTGATCCAAAGACTTGCTCATATTTGTTTCGTGTATATTCCTGGACGTTAATCCCCCTTAGATGTGCGAAGTTTCCTCTGGACGGCTCATGACCAAACGTCGACGAAGATATCGTAAGCTCACTCTCTCTACGCCTTCTTTATTCACAAATGTGTGTTTAAACTTGATTTCATACGTATTTGGAAACAGCCATATTTCTTACAAGGTCTTCTGTTTGCGATATGTAGAGCTGATTGTCTATGCCGGACGGGTGTTGGGTGCATTTGCCCCAGAGATGAAGCTAGAAGACGATTTCCGCGAATTATTCTGCATTTGCCTTGCTAAGTCGCCAATACTAGTACCGTGGGACACTAGGATTCATTTCTAGAAGAGATTGTAATGTTGGTATCCATGCTTCCTGTGCTCCCTTTCTTACGTATACGCCAAACATCATAACGAGTGTGATACTTAGCATCTTACTAATACGCAGCAGATTAGGCGGGAGCTTAAGAAGACTGAACCTCATAACCCCATACTTCATTCACCGGATCTAGACAGGTAGGTCATTTTTCTGTACGACTACCTTCACCGTGAGATTTACCACATTCTCTACCAGTTATGGTCAAACGGCGACGCAAAATATGCAATGTTTCGACAATCCCTGAAATCGCAACCCCGACTCGACGACCGAATTAGGCGAATGAGAAGAGAGAACGGCTTCTACCATTCGGGGCGTAAAAAGAAAGAAAAGACAGCCCGGGAGGGCTCCAGGCGCCCGCATCGTCCCGATCAGCTTCCCCGCTCCGGAAAGACGAAAGAAACCGTATGGCGTGACCTGATGCGTGCCAACGGCGCAGCTCTGCACGCAACCTCGCGTGCGAGTGTCTCCCTCAGATGAGATCCCGAGCCTGACCTTGAATTCCCTATGTTGATATGCGAGATGCAGCCCTCGCCTGGACCGTTCTATTCGGGCACGCCTCAACTTTACCCGACAGTCTGGGCAGTCCTTTCCGCGTTTTCACGTACATGAAATATGCGGCTTGTCATGAGAGACGGGAGATTCCATTGACTAAAAGGGTATCAAGATGAGGGGTAACGACTGTGATGAGGCTAGCTACAGCTGGCAACCAGGAATAACAACTTTAGTCCCGCACCGGTGTCTTTTTTCCCCTTAGGATGGACTCCTTCTGAGAGATGTAGAAATCCAAGCTGGGTCGTGACCTAGCTGTCTTCGGGTTCTGTGAAGTAATATGAGAAAAGCTGATAGACTTTCGGAATGATCAGTGTGAAGCTTAGTTGCTACTTGGTATGATTTGAAGCCGGGAACAGTAGAGCCAAGGCTGCGTCAGTAAGGTTCTCGACGATGGCTGCAGGACATGATGCGCTGCGACGTTGACACCCACCAAAAGCAGAATGACACAACAATGGCACTCGTGTTTTTACACGAATTGGCAACGTTGATGGCGTAAAGAGCAGCAGAGGTCAACATGGGCGGCAAATACGCCAAGCTCACCTCGCGTGGCCCTCTCCCAATACATATAAAGGCTTCTCAAGCAGAACTATACAAATAAGAGAAAAGGCTTGAATCCATGGTGCTACTTGATTGATTTTTCTTGATTCTTTCTCCGTGCCTAGAGATTGTTGAACTTAAAGAAGCCAGCCAAAATGCCAAAGATCTCTGTCCTTATGGCCGCCTTGGGCCTCTCGTTGACGAATATCCCGGGCGTTGTTTCATCAAGTGTCCCCCAGTCCATCGCTCACTCGAGAATCCTCCCCAGAGCTTGTGACGTCAAGGCAGCGTACGACTACATTATCGTTGGAGGAGGTACCTCCGGCCTGACAGTCGCTGATCGATTGACGGAAAGCGGCAAGCGTAAGTTTACCCCAGAATAAGAGAAAGCACCGCACTATGCTAATTTTGACCCTCGCAAGATACTGTGCTGGTGATTGAACTTGGTTTATTCGGTAAGTTTTGACCTCATCTGTAAAGACATAGCTTCAGAGAGCGAAGCGTGTACTAACATCGCAGCAAAGACAACTCGTCTCAGGTGAACACCGTCACGACTGGCCTGCTATCCTGGCGCAACCAGTCCCACACCTTCAATTTCTCCTCCTTACCCCAAGAGGGTCTCAACGGCCGCAAGATCAATGTCATTGGCGGCGTCATGCTCGGTGGCTCGACGGGCGTCAACGCCATGCAGGTCCACCGCGGTCAGAAGGAGGACTACGACAGATGGGGGTCCTACTTCAGCAATGAATCGGAATGGAGTTGGGATGGCCTGCTGCCCTACTTCAAAAAGGTGAGAGTCCCATCGTTTGGAGTCAATCTTACACTCTACTCTCTCCAGTGTCTGTGACTGATGAAGTGATTAAACCGTAGGCGTGGAACTTCCACCCTCCTACCCCCGAGCTGACGGAGCAATTCGACATCAAGTACGACGAGAGCTTCTGGGGCAACTCATCCGGCATCCACGCTTCGTTTCCGACTTTCCACTGGCCTATGCTGAGTACTTATTTACCACTCCCTTTCATATAGCCCGCTAATTACAACGTGTCACCATGCTAACGAAACGGCACCACCCATATCAACAGAGACCGAAGTAGAAGCGTTTAAAGAAATACGAGGCGTCGACTTCCCCGCCGACTCAGGCGCCGGCGAGCCGGGCGTCTTCTGGTATCCAACCTCCTTCGACCCGGCCACCGTAACGCGGTCCATGGCCAGGCGAGGCCACTGGGACGGCATCGAGGCCGCGCGGGACAACTACGAGACCATTACCGGGCATAAGGTACTCAAGGTCCTCTTTAATGACGGCAGCGACGGTGACAGTGACAGTGAGACCGAGACCCGGACCGCCATCGGCGTCTCTTACGTCGAGGCAAACTCCACCACCGCAAGGGGCGCGCGGATCGTAAAGGCCAGGAAGGAGGTTATCCTGGCCACGGGATCCATTCACACGCCGCAAATTCTGCAGCGCAGCGGCGTGGGTGAGAGGCCGCTTCTCGAGGCCGCTGGGATCGAGGTTGTCGTCGACTTGCCCGGCGTGGGACAGAATTTCCAGGACCACCCTGTCGGTGCCGGGGCTACCTTTACCTGTGAGCTTTGATAGTATTTTTTTGAGGGAGTAGGTCACCATGCTCATAATCTTTCAGTCACCAACTTTGACGTCCATCCGGACATGACCGACCTCGTCAACAACCAAACCTTCATCGACGAAGCCAAAGCAGAGTTCGAAGCAAACCGAACCGGTACAACCTCCTCTTCCAAACTCATCCACATCAAGGCAGAACGTCAAGAAGCACTCACTAACACTCCCCTCAGGACCTCTTACCATAGGCGCGGGCAACGTAGCAACATTCCTCCCCTTCCCAGTAATAGCCCCCTCCTTCGAAGCCATCACATCCGCCTACGAATCCCAACCCCCCTCAGCCCACCTGCCCCCCGATACACACGCAACCGTAATAGCAGGCTACGCAGCCCAACAAACCCGCCTCGCAGCAGCCCTCCGCTCCCCCGGCGCCGCCTTCTACAACTTCTTCCTCCGCGGCGCGCCGACAGAAAGCAACTTTGTCCTCCTCCACCCGCTATCGCGCGGCACAATCTCCCTCAACACCAGCGACCCCTTCTTTTCCGAACCCGTCGTCGACTACCGCGCGCTAAGCAACCCGACCGATCTCGCCGTGCAAATCGAGTTTATCCGCTTCACCCGACGCTACTTTCTCGAGTCCGCGACGCTGGCGCGCTACGCGCCCGTGGAGACGGTTCCCGGTGCGAACGTTACCACCGACGAAGCGCTGGGCGAGGCCGTGAGGAGGATGGTGAGCCCGACGACGTTTCACCCCGTCGGCACGGCGGCTATGATGCCGAGAGCGTTGGGAGGGGTCGTGGATGAGGGTTTGGAGGTGTATGGGGTCCGGGGGTTGAGTGTTGTTGATGCGAGCGTGATGCCTGATTTGCCGGGGGCGTATACGCAGCAGACTGTGTATGCTGTTGCTGAGAAGGTGAGTCTTGATGATGGTGATGGTGAGCAGAGGTGCAGAAGTGAAAGGGAAGAGAGGTAAACTGACGAGATTTTAGGCTGCTAGTTTGATTAAAGCCCGGGCGTGATACTTTGCATAGAGGAGGACCGGACCTAGTGGTGACTGTATTGCTGACCGGCAGGTATTTCAGTGGTCAGTGGCGGAGTAATATCCCGGTCAATGTATTTAGATACCTGACCTTGCTGTCATATCACTACTATCTTTCTCATCATCCTTTTTCTAGGCTTCTTGAGGTATATTACCAAACGAATAAGTATAGAGTAAAGAAGAAAAGGCAGTACTGGTGAACAGGTCTTCGATTATTTGGAGCAACAACACTCGGTAGAGGACAAGAGCCGGCCATACCTCCGGCTCATCCTCTATCGCTCACCAGTATGGACTTGGCTGTTTTGCTTATGACCGTGGTCCGCTCGACCGTGACTCCTACTTTATATACTAGTTAGTACTCAGCGTGCTGGCCTTATTGAGCGGCAGATGATTGTGTCAGTCACTTGACAGGGTAGAGGAATATAACGCTTGAGAGACGATGTCTCGAGGTTTCAAAGGCCGAGAGCGTTGTTTTGAAAGTTTTTGAAAGTATCTTCCGCTGTTGACTGAGATAATGAGTTGTGCTGATCATTCGGACATTCACAACAAGGACAACGGCACATGGCATGAAGTGTAGCAAATGTCTGATGCTTATTCAATATGGCTTAATTGCTCAATCCAGAAAGCTGGCTAGAAACAAGGAGACTTTTCGACGGGACCGTAGCCCTGTTATGTACAAAGGAATATGCCAAACAGATGTCTAGTACACAAGACGCAAAAAAACTAGTACACCTCGAGAACGTAGCGGCCATCCTCCTTGAGCTTCTCAATCTCGTTGCGGGCATTGACCTTTTTGCCGCTCATCTTGGCCTCGACGTTGATGGCCTCCATCAGCACGTCCGTAACGTCAGGCACGGGCCACGTGGGACCGCACAGGTAGAAGCTGCCCTCGTCGCGGATGTACGACTGCACGACGTCGCGCATGGACTCGCGCATGCGGTCCTGGATGTAAATCTTGCGCGGCTGGTCGCGCGAGAAGGCGGCGCCGAGGTGCGTGATGACGCCGGCGTCGACGTAGGCCTCCCACTCCTCGCCGTACAAGTACTCCTCGCGCTGGTGGCGGGAGCCGAGGTACAGCAGAATGGAGCCAATCTCCTCGCCGCGGGCCTTTTGCAGGGCGCGGTACTGGACGAAGGCGCGGAACGGGGCGAGACCGGTGCCGAGGCCGGCCATGATGAGAGGCGCCTTGGAGGAGGTCGGGAGCTTCATGACGGAGGGCTTGACGGAGGCGACGACGGTGGCGCCGACGGGGAGGGCGGAGAGGTAGCGAGTGGCGTGGCCGAAGCGGTTGCGGCCGAGGGGGTCGACCCAGTCGACGACGACAATCATAAGGGCGACCGAGGTCGGGGTCACGGCCTGGGCGGAGGCGATGGAGTACTCGCGGCGCTTGAGCGGGGCGATGATGCGGACGAGATCGTGGAAGGACGGGCGGGCCGAGGGGAACTCCTGGAGGATGTCGACGTAGGTGACAAAGTCGACCTCGGAGCGCTTCTTGAAGTCGGCGGCGCCCTCGGCACCGCCAAGGCTGGCGAGGACGGCCTTTTCGCGCTCGTCGGCGGCGAACTCGGACAGGGCCTCGTAGAAGCGCTTGGGGGGCTTGCCAAGGACGTCAATGTTCTGCTTGAGGGACTGGTAGACGGTGCGGGTCTCGAAGGCGGCGTTGTCCTCGCGGGCGGGCACCTGGACGAGGGCCTCCGGGTCGAGGCCGTACCACTTGATGAAGGCGCTGACCTCCTCGTGGTCGTTTTCGGCGTGGATGCCGAGGGCCTCGCCAATGTCGTAGGTGAGACCAGAGTCGCCGAGGTCGAACTCAATGTGGAAGATGTTGCGGTCGTAGTTACCGGGGGTAAGGCGGCGGTTCTCCTTGACGGTGATGGTGTGGGTCTTGACGGGCAGCTCCGGGCGCAGGGCGCTCTCGGTGCCGTAGGCCTCCTTGAAGGCCAGGCCCTTGGCCGCGGCCTGCCAGTCGACGAGCTGGGAAGTCTCCTCGGCCTCCTCCTTGTCGAAGCCGACAAAGCTGTTGGGCTTGATGGTGGCCGGCAGGGAGCTGACGACGACGTCCTCGGGGAGCTCGGCCCAGGCGGACTGGGGCTCGATCTTGCGCAGGGCCTGGCCGAGGGCCTCCTGGGTCTCGGCGAGGGTGCTAGAGAAGCCCTCGGGCAGGGCGACCTTGGCGACCTCCTCGGCGGTGATGTCGGAGCGGGCGATCTGGAGGAAGGCAAACTCCAAGAGGACCTTGACAGCCTGGGACTCCTTCTCGGCAAAGGCGGAGGCGTCGAGGATGTAAAGCTCGATGGACTTGTCCTGGATCTGCTTGCGCACGACGGGGGAGAGGCGCTTCTCGATGTCCTCCTCCTTAAAGCTGGGGAGGTTCAGAAGAAGCTTACCGCCGGCCTTGACGCTCTTGATGATATCGAGGTCCTTAAGGAGCTTCTCCTCACCCACAGCAACGACATCGGCCTCCTCGACGGCGTAGGGCGCCTCAATGGCCTTCTTGGAGCTGCGGATGTCGGTGCGGACGATACCGCCCTGGAGCAGGTTGTCGAAGGACTCATGGATGTAGACGTTGCTGGTAGACTCGCGGGAGAGCAGGTTGCTGACAACAGCCGGGGAGTCGACGGCAACGGAGTTGTCGACGTCCCAGAAAGTGTACTGGTGCGCCTGAACCAAGGCGGGGAACGGCTTGGACTCGGCCTCGGCGCTAAGGAGCTTGCCAAAGATGTCGGCGACGGTCTGGGGCGTCAGGGCCTCCGAGGCGGAGTACTTGACGTCCGAGACGGTGGGGTCCTGGCGCCACTTTCCAGAGAAGGAGACGGAGGTCAGGACGTCAGTGTAGAGCGCAGACTGCAGGGAAGCGTCGTTGACGGAGAGCTCGTCCTTGACCTGACCCAGGACGGAGATGGACCTGGCGGAAGCGGGGATGCTGGCGAGGAAGGCCTCCTCGACAAAGGGGCGGTAGACGCGGACGTTGATGGCGCCGACCTTTGCGCCGTCGGCGGCCAGGCGGGTAACGACCTGCTTGGCGAGCTGGGTCTCGGCGCTGCCAAAGACGACGAGGACGGCCTCGGCCTGGTCGTGTCCGTGATACTCGAATAGGTTGTAGGCGGTGCCGAGCTCGTTATTGAACAGTCTGAGGAGCTCCACGACCTTGCCGGCGTCGTCGAGTCTCTTGTTCAGGGACTGGACCTCGCTGGAAATCTTCTTGTAGGTCTCGGCGACGCCCTTCTTGTTGAGAGCGTCCGAGGCCTTGAGAGTCTGCTTGGCGAGCTTGACGCCGTCCTCGACTCCCAGGTTGGGGGTGAGGGCGGTCATGAGAGTGGCCAGGAGGGCGGTGTGCTGGCTCTCGTGGTCCTCGGTAGGGTCGAGGTGCTTATTGAAGACATCCAACAGGCCGGCGACCTTGGAAGAGATTGCGGCCCTCTCAGAGACACCAGTGGACTCGGAGGTGATGTTGTTGTAGAGGTCAGCGATGCCGCTCTGGCTGAGGGCATCAACGACACGGGAGGTCTCGCGGGCGAGTCTAACACCATCGTAGATGTGCAGCGTGGGCATCAGGGCGGCCATGAGGGTGGCGAAGAGTGCCATGTGCTGAGTCTCGTAGGCGCTGGAGCTGGCAACCAAGCCGAGTCCAAGGTCCTCGGCGGTGCGCAGCGCAGTGTCGTAGTCGGAGACGAGGCCGTTTGCGGCATCGTAGTCTAGAGCCGCGACATGGGCGACGAAGGGGGAGGCGACGCCGTACAACAGGCTCAGCTGGTCCAATGCGCCGCGGAGGTTCTTCAAGCTCAGAGTAGGGGCGAGCAGGGTCTGGGGCAGATGTCTCTTGGCCAGGTCAAAGTCTGGGCTGAAGATGTAGCCGAGGGCGAGGGCGCCGGCGCCAGTCCTGGTCTGGAGCTGGATGAGGTCGGTGGTCTCGCCATGGATGTTGTGCTCCTTGGCCTCGGCCCAAGCCTTTGCGGCGACATCGAGGTCGAAGGTAGGAGCGGAGTAGGAGAAGATCTTGTCGGAGAGCAGGAAGGCGACCTGCTGGACGAGCAGCTGGGCCGTCACGTAGGTAGGACCGGAGATGGAGGAGAGAGCCACAGGCTGGCCAAAGGGGAGGGTGGAAGAGACCTTTTTCTGAGGGGCGGACGAGGGCGCCGACTTTGTGTCGACGGCGGCCGCAGAGCCGGTGCTCTCTTGTTGCTTGAACTGCATCTTGGGAGGTTTTGGAGAAGACGAATTGGGAATAAGTACAGCAAAGAATATGTGATTAAAGATGGTCCAAAATACACGGAGGACCAGAAGACAGAGCCTCACCACTCGCAAGAGAATGGTTGCTACTGAGAGACAATCAGGACACTCAAGAGCAAGTTGTACAAGTCACTTGCGTCAACCTGAACGAGAGAGGAGCTTCTTCGTTCTAGGAGGACCTTGAGATTCGTAAGTGAGGAGAGGTAAAAGGGAGAAAAGGAAGAAGTTCAAGAGAGGTTCTCGTCTAAGAAGACTCCGAACAGGTTCCGAGCATATAAAAAAAAAAAAAGTGAGAGAAGGACCGGCAAAGGGGACCCTTTAGCCGGCAGTCACCTTTGGCTTAGCACGGTTAGCTGCTAGCACCGGGAACCGAGAAGCGCACTCCAATGACTCCATTGCAGCAGGCAATAAGAGACTGGCATTTGTCAGGCATCTTTGCTGTCTGGTGTGCAGGCGTATTGCTGTCTGCCTCTTGCTGCTGCTTGTTCGCGTGCGAAACTCGGCGTTTGGAAATTGTTGAAGCTTGGAGAATTGCGACTAGGGGACAATTGCGCCATCGCGCGCCAATGAGCGACCGGGACCCATCTGCAACGGCCCCACATTGCACCATTTCCGATCCACTCGACGTCCCTTCCCTCGCCTTGAGCGGTGCACCCTGGGCCTACCGGTGCACCTCCCGCTTACCAAATCCGCAATCTTTGGTCTGGGCTCAGAATTGCGTGCTCGACCATCCGGAAATGCAAGCCTCTT